TTTTTTGGGTCTCCTTTAGCAAGCTGTTGACTTGTTTTTCATGATTTTCTTGCATCACTCTCATTTCTCTTCCCAGTTTTTCCTCTACTTCTCTTACTTGCTTCTCAAAATCCCTTTTGAGCTCTTCCAAGGCCTGGGACTGATTCATATTTTTCTTGGAGGCTTTGGATGTAGGAGGTTTGACTCTGTTGTCTTCTTCTGGTTGTATGTTTTGATCTTCTTTGTCACCAGAGTAAGATAATATAGTCTGACTCTTTTTGTGCTGCTTGCTCATGATCCCAGACAATTACTTGAGTTTTAAGCTCTTTGTTAAGGTAAGAGTCTGCTTCCAATGTGGAGAATGTACTGTCCCAAGCTTCGGGGGTTTATACAGCTGTGTTTCAGAGATACTTGTAGGGACCTGTAAATTTTCAGTTCTTGCAAGGTGGTATGATAAGGGGCGAGATGTTTACTCCTTTCCTGGCCTGTGCTCTGGTCTGTTAGTGACCACAAGCACTCCTTTCTGTCCTGGAACTGTGAAGAAGGTTTCCTCTCCACAGCTACTACAAGCTCCACCATGCCAGCACTCCTCCTTCGCCCCAGGACTGCCACCCAGAACTGTGACCCAGATCCAAGTACTGGCAAAGCAAGAGATTCCTGCCTCAGTATTGTCAAATAGATCCCTGAAATCCCCCTCTGATCAGCCACTCAATTCCCCCTCAGTCTGTGGGCCGGAAGCTCAGGATTCAGCCACTGCCCTGGAGCCCGCACTCTGTGATTTGGAGCTGGCTCTGACCTAGCTCCTCTCTCACTGCAGAAACAGACTTTTCCCACTGACCTTCTAAGTTGTGTTTGGTGTTTGTGGGTTCAGAGGTCTAGAAGCCGCCACAGCTGCCTGAGGTTCAGTCCTCTGAGTCTACCCTAACTTTTGTCCCCTGCTTGCCACTTAAAGCCTCTACTTTAGTTACGGCTCTCTCTTGTTGGGCTATTATACAGTTTATTAGTTAGTCTCTGGCCTCTAGTCTCTTACCTCAATAATCTATCCTCCACATAGCTGTCAAAGTGACACCCCTAAAAGCCCATGTTTGACCATTTTGCCTTCATGCTCAGTAACTTATTTGCCTTGCTATTGTTGCTATGATCAAACGTAAACCCCTTGTTTGATACTTAGAAGTCTTTCTAGTCTGGTTCCAGCTTACTGTTTGCCCTCTTTGGTTCAGTCAAATTTATTGTTCAGTCATTCAGTTTTGTTTGACTCTTTGTGACTCCATGGATGGTATGGTCCATGGAGTTTTCTTGGCTAGAATGGTTTGCCATTTTCTTCTCCAGCAGATTAAGGCAAACAGAGGTTAAGGGACTTGCCCAGGATCACACTGCTAATAAAGTAAGTCTGAGGTCAGATTTGAACTCAGGTCTTCCTGACTCCAGGCCCAGTGCTCTATCCATTGAGCCATCTAGCTGCCCCAGTCAAATAGGCATTCTTATATTTCCTCACACAAGACATTCCATTTCCCATTTTCATGCCTCTGCACAGGCTCTTCCCAGGCCTATAATGTCCTCTCTCCTCACTTTTGTTGCCTAAAATTGCTACACCTACATAATACCCTTTCTGATTATCCCAGCTTCCAGGGCTCCCCCCTCCCCCACCTCAATTTCATTATATTATATATTTTGTTTCTGAGAAGCAGCATGGCATAGTGGATAGAGAGCCATCTTCAGAGCTAGTAAGACATGAGTTCAGGTTCTCCTTCTGACTCATACTAGCTGTGTGACTGTACAAGGCATTTAATCTCTCATAGCTTTTTTAGGTAACTCTCTTCTGCAGAAGAAGTTGCTGAGAAAGGGCTGACCTACATTGGTAGAGGGAGTTTCCTTATGTCAGTGAAGATATAGGTCCAATCCCTAACTCTGACCTTTGTATATACTTATATAACTGTGCACGGAGACTGGAGTTGTCTGGCTGAATAGAACTAGTTACTTCTCTCTGGCCCCCATTCTTGTATGGGTATCCCTCGGGGTTCTGTTCTGGCCCCTCTTCTTTTCTCCCTCTACATTATTTCATTTGGCAATCTCATCAGCTCCCATGGATTTAATTACCATTATCTACTTTGAGGATCTTCAAATCTACCAATTCTGTCCCAGCTTTTTGCTGACCTCCAAACTTGCATCTCCAACTGCCCTTCAGATAGCTTGAACTGGATGTCTAGTAGACATCTTAAAGTAAACATGTCCCAAATTAACTCATTATCTTTCCCTCTAAACCTTTCCTGCCTCCTACCTTCCCTCTCACTGTAGAGGGCAACACCGTCCTCCCAGTCCCTTAGGCTCACAACCTAGGAGTCATTTTTGACTCTCTACCATCTCTCACTGCCTGTATCCAATCTGCTGCTAAGGCCTGTCAGCTCTTCCCTTCTCTCTGTTCACCATCCCTGGCTCCACCCCTGAGAGAAAGAATTTCCTTAAACCTACCTCAAGTATGGACAAGAGGAAAGCAAATTTGCTTGAGAAGACAATTTTCCTTACTGAGCCTCCTTTCCCACCTAACCCAGTGGGACTCATTCTTCTTTTCCCTGAGGGAATCCATGACAATCCAGATTCATGTTCTATACCTTATATTTTTCTTTGCTTTTGAAGAGATACAATATTTTATCACTAAAACCTCTTTGGTTCCTTTCAAGCCCTCAGATGTTGAAAAATCCCAGTGAATTTTTCTCTCTGTGTAGCTGACCATAATCTCCCTTTCAATGTTCAGTTGTTTCAGTTATTATGTCCAATTCTTCATGACCCTATTTAGAATTTCCTTGGTAAAGACACTGGAATAGTTTGTCATTTCCTTTTTCAGCTCATTTTACAGATGAGGAAACTGAGAGTCACACAGTTAGTGTCTGAGGCCAGATTTGAATTAATGAAGATGAGTCTTCCTGACCTCCAGGCCCTGTACTCCATCTACTGCACCACCTAGCTCCCCTTTCAATACCTTTGAGCATATGAAAGCCATACAGACCAAGAATGAACTGAGTTAATTGCAGTTTTAAATTGTAATTGACTTTTAGAGTGTAGGTAGTCAACAATGTAAAATGTGAACTTTAAAGATCCAGAAATAAGCTTTGGAGTGGATTCACACTAACCTTGTGGGGGAGAAGCATGAAGAGAGTTTTACTATTGGTTGTTCCTAGCAAATAACCACAGCCACAGTCTGTTCAGCTGTGGTTTTGAGGGATCCCACATCTCACTCTTGACTGTGGTAGAGGCAGTGGTGGTAAAGATGGCAGGCGTGGTGCTAATTCCATTTCTTTCTCAATTGTACTGTAGAGAAGCTGAGGACCAATCGGTCACTAGATATCCCTAGAGTTGAAGCTGCTTGGATTCAGACACAGTGGGGGAAGGCAGGATAGTGGCAGCTTTCTTGTCTCCATCCAGCATCATGGCTGCTATGAGGAATTTATATTTGCCAGCAAGCATTAATCTCTAATGCCTCTCTATTCTTCTGTATGCATGAGTTGTTTCTCTTGCTAGACTATAAGCAATTTGAGGGCAGGTTTTTTAAAAAAAATATTTGTTATTGAGGGCAAGTTAAAAAAATTTTTTTGTCTTAGTATCCCCAGTGCTTAGAACAATGGTTGGTAGATTTGTTGTTGTTGAATTATTGAGTCATATGCGACTCTTTATGACCCCATGGACCATATTGTCCATGGGGCTTTCTTGGCAAAGATACAGGAATGTTTTGCCATTTCTTTCCTCAGTGGATTAAAGCAAATAGAGGTTAAGTGACTTGTCCAGGTCTCACAGCTAGTATCTGAGGCTGTATTTGAACTCAGGTCTTCCTGACTTCTGGCCCAGTGCCCAGCACTGAGTCATCTGGCTGCCTCCCTGCCTGGTAGATAGCAGGCACTTAATAAATGCTTGTTTGATTGATTGATTGATTGTAGGACCTGGCATGTACAGGGCTGAGTTTTCTAATTAGCAAGGGCATATAATGATTCAGTCACCTGTCTCCTGTAGCTCCTGGTCCTCTAACACCTCACTGCCAATACAAATATATTTTCATCAACTACCTTTTTCCAAAACAGAAAGATAATGAGGGAGTGCAAAGTAGACAGACGTTAGGGCATGACCATATGAATTTATCCTAAGAAAAATCATGATTTAGGAGCTGCAGAAACCCTAGAGACCATGGAAAGAAGGCTGGATTTTGAGCTCAGATTCCTGGGTTTCAATCATGTCTCTGTCCCTTACTACCTATGTGGGCAAGTTCATTCCTCTAGATCTCAGTTTTCTCAAGAGTAAAATGAAGGGTTTGGACTAGATAGAATTAAATTTACTTCTGGCTCATTCTAAATGTATGATACTATGATCTGTCATTTCACAGATAAGAAAATAGAAACTTGGGAGATTAATCAACTTGTCCAGGGCTACATGGCTGCTAAGTGGAGAAAGTAGGAGTCAAATCCACTCTTCAAACCCATTTAAGCTCACAGTGCCATTTCCTACCTCCTTCTTAACCCCAGGAAAAAGAGTTAGAATCCTTGGCTTTTTTTTTTCTTTAGGCAGTTGAGGTTAAGTGACTTGCCCACGGTTACACAGCTAGTAAGTGTCAAGTGTTTGGTCTGAGGCTGGATTTGGGCTCAGGTCCTTCTGACTTCAGGGCTGGTGTTCTATCTGCCCCCTACCCTGGGCTTCTTTAAAACAAGCTCAGGTGCCACCTTCTATCCTACATGAGATCTTTCCTATGCCATTAATTACCCGCACTCTGAAATTGGCACCTTAATGAAACTATATTATTTTGTCCATACTGGCAATGTATCCCCACCCCTTTCCCTAGTAGATGCAAATTCCTTGGGGTCAGGGACTGTTCGAGTTTTTTTTTTTGTATCTCTGGTGCTTGGTCTAGTGTTTTGCATATAGCAGGGACTTCATAAATGTTTGTTTAATTGAATTGAATTGAAAAGTTAGTCTATCTTTCCTCCAAACTGCCTCTTTCCACTTGCCTCTCCCTTAACAGAATTGGGTTTTGTACTTACGCAGAAGATATTCTGAGCTGTCATGGTCATAATCATTGTCTTCTGGGAAGTGGTTGATCCGGAAACAATGACCTTTATAGATCCCTAAAAAGAACAGAAAAAGATCATTTTAATGTGCTGCACAATGAATGAACGTCTCAGTAATTTGTGTGTGTTTTAAGTAAAACTTGCTCCAGAAAATCACAGATGCATTTTGCCAACCATAAAAACACCTAGCATCTACTCCCCTGGCCCAGATCCCATGAGGTTATTGATTAGAAGCATAGTGTTAACTTTGGATTAACCTCATAAACAGGGGATGGTGAGGAGGGAGGTGGTGATAGTGGTGATGAATGATTAATCAATCCCCATATCTCATTCATTTCAGACTATTTGTGATTCTATTTAGGGTTTTCCTGGCAAAGATACAGGAGAGGTTTGCCATTTCCTTCTTCAGCTCATTTTATAGACAAAGAACTGAGGCAAACAGTAAGTGACTTGCCCAGAGTCACACAGCTAGTAAGTGTCTGAAGTCAGATCTGAACTCAGGTCTTCCCGACTCCAGGCCCAGAACTCTATCCGCTGTGCCACCTAGGTACAAAACAAGAGAAGGGTGGTGGTGGTGATGAATGATTAATCAATCCCCATACACCGTTTTAGATCTGTGTGTCATCCCTTCATAGAGAAGTCTGAAGTCTTGTCTTGTAAGAAAAGGTCTGGATAATCCACAGAACAGAAAATGAACTCCTGAGTAAATTAGAGCAGATTATGTATGTAGAGTTTCTCCCCAGGCCTGGCAAAGATTGAGGCCTAAGAGCTAGACAAGTGATGGTCATTTAGCTCAAGAATCTTTTGTTTTTCACTGGTTTTGGAAAGAAAGTTCCCTTCTGTACCTGGAGAGATGAAATTTTGGCCTTGAAGACAGCAGAGTGGGATTAGGTGGGGGCAAGGAGAGGGCCCTTCCAGGAGTAGTTATACTGAATTTTTCTAGCCCAGACTGGATGTCTGCTACTCTTGACTGGGTCAAGAGAAGGCCTAAGCACCAGAGGTAATGCTAAGCATATATTATGAGATAATATATTGAAATATATTGCAAACATTAAAGCATAATATAAATATTATTATTATTATTATTATTATTATTAGTGGAAAAGGTTCAGTGACTGTTGGCATCCATCAGTACATGAAGCAACAGGTGTCTGTTGGTAAGACTAGTTTAGTGTTTTCCCAAAGCTCTCCTGGGAGCAGAAGCCCATTCCTCTCTTCATTTCCCCTATCTACTTCTCATTTTTACTCATTCCAACAGAGAATGGGGTAGAGGAGAGGAGAAAGCCCTCTTTTAGTGGCAGACTGAGCAGCTGGCATCAGCAACTGTTATCTCTTTAAGCAGGATTTGGGGTTTTCTTGTTATATGTTTGAAATTGTAATTAAATCAGATAGCTATTGAATCTGCGCCAATTTTGCTTATTTGAAATGAATATGGAGAGACTGGAAGGAGGGAGGACAAACCTGAAAGAGCAAGAGATCTAAATTATTGAGTTTTTAAAAGCTCAATTTGGATTTTGCCAGTATAAGCTGGTTGGAGATTCAGAGGGGAAAATTGAGAGAGAGAGAGAGAGAGAGACAGAGACAGAGAGACAGACAGACAGACAGGGACAGAGACAGACAGAGAGACAGAGACAGAAACAGAGACAGAAACAGAGGGAGACAGAGGCAGAGATAGATAGACACTGATAAAGCGATAGAGAAACAGAGAGACAGACAGAAACAGAGAGATAGAGAGACAGAGACAGAGACAGAGAGACAGGAACAGAGACAGAATCAGAGAGACAGAGACAGGAACAGAGACAAAGACAGAGAGAGACAGAGATAGACACTGACAAAGCAAGAGAGAAACAGAGAGAGACAGAGAGACAAAGAGAGACAGAGAAGGAGGAGGAGGAGGAAGAAGCGGCAAAAAACCAATTTTCTCTTCCCTTTTGAAGGTAATGAGATGGGTTGAAATTTTTTGTTAAATTTTATTTTTTTCTATTGGCAATAGAAATTGACAATCTATTAACCTTCCTTCACCCCTGGGGAAGGGAGATTTGGGAAGGCGAAACTTTGTAACAAATATTCATAGTTAAGCAAAACAAATTCCCATATTGGCTGAATCCAAAAAATATGTGTAATTCTGTACTTTGAGACCATCACCTCCCTGTTAGGAAGTGGGTAGCATTGGTCCTCTGGAATTGTGGTTGGTCATTGCAATGATCACACTTGTTAGGTCTTTAAAAATGTTGTCTTTACAATGGTGTATCATTATATACATAATTCTTCTGGTTCTGCTCACTTCATGCTGCATTAGTTTATATAATTCTTCCCAGGTTCCTTTGAAACTATCCCTTTCATCATTTTTACAGCATAATAGCATTCTATTATGTTCTTAGACTGTCATTTATTCAGCCATTCCCTAATTGATGGGTACCCCTTTAGCTTCCTTAGCCACTATGAAATATTTCTGTACAGATCTAAACAATTGGAAAAATATCAGTTGCTCATAGGCTGAGCCAATATAATAAAAACACCAATTTTGCCTAAACTAATTCACTTATTCAGTGCCATACCAATCAAATCACCAAAAAATTTGTTTTATAGAGCTAGGAAAAATAAAATTCATGGGGAAGAACAAAAAATCAAGAATATCAAGGGAATTAATTTTAAAAATACAAAGGAAGGTGGCCTAGCAGGACCAGATCTCAAACTATATTATAAAGCAAAAATCATCAAACGGTAGTAGATCAGTGGATTAGATTAGGTACACAAGACACAGTAGTAAACGACCATAGTAATCTAGTATTTGATAAATCCAGAGACCCCAGCCTCTAAGGACTCACTATTTGACAAAAGCTACTGGGAAAATTGGAAAACAATAAGGCAGAAACTAGGTACAGACCAACATTTTACACTCTATACCAAGATAAAGTCAAAACAGGCACATGATTTAGACATAAAAGGGTGATACCACAAACAAATTAAGAGAGTCCTGTCAGATCTATGGAGAAGGGAAGAATTTAAGACCAAACAAGAGATGGTGAGCATTACAAAGTGTAAAATAATTTTGACTATATTAAATTAAAAATGTTTTTGCACAAACAAAACCAATGCAACCAAGGTTAGAAATAAAGTAGAAAGCTGGGAGATGATCTTTATAGAAAATGTCTCTGATAAAGGCCTCATTTTTCAAAAATATAGAGAACTGGGTCAAATTTTTAAAAATACGAGTCATTCCCCAATTGATAAATGGTCAAAAGATATGAACAGGCAGTTTTCAGATGAAGAAATTAAAGCTATCTATAGTCATATGCAGAAATGCTCTAAATCACTTTTGATTAGAGAAATGCAAATTAAAACAACTCTGAGGTACCACCTAACACCCATCAGATTGGCTAATATGGTAAAAAAGAAAAATGACAAATGTTGGAGACGATGGAGGAAAATTGGGACACTAATGCATTGTTGGTAGAGTTATGAACTGATCCAACCATTCTGGAGAGCAATCTGGAATATGACCAAAGGGCAACCAAAGTGTACACATACCCTTTGATCCAGCAATACCACTTCTAAGTCTGTATCCTAAAGAGATCATAAAAAAGGAAAAAGGACCTACATACATAAAATATTTATAACGGCTCTTTTTGTGGTGGCAAAAAATTATAAATTGAGGGGCTACCCACCAATTGGGGAATAACTAAAAAAAACTGCAATATATGAATATAATGGAATACTATTGCGTAATAAGAAATGATGAGCAGGCAAATTTCAGAAAAACCTGGAAATACTAATATGAACTGATGCAAAATGAAAGGAGAAGAGTTGGGAGAAGATTGTACATAATAACTGAAATATTGTGTGATGATCAACTATGAATGACTTAGCTCTTCTCAGCAATATAATGATTCAAGACAATCACAAAGGACTCTATAGAAAATGCTATCCACATCCAGAGAAAGAACTGATGGACTCTGAATGCAAATCAAAGCATATCATTTTTACTTTCTTTATTTTTGGGTGTGGTTTCACATGACTGCACATATATAACCTATATGCTTACTGTTCAAGAGAGAGGAGAGGGAGAAAAATTTGGAATTCAAAATTTTATAAAAAATGAATATTAAAAATTGTCTTTACATATAATTGGAAAAAATAAAACACTAAAAAAGTTTAATATATCTGTATACATGGGTCCTTTTTCCTACTTCTGTCATCTTTTTTTTTTTTAGCAGTTTAGGTCTGGTATTGGCCTATCCACTGAGTCAAAGGCTAGTGACTTCTGGCGCTTAGTGCTAAATTGCTTTCCAGAATGGTTGGATCAATTTTCACAGTTCCACCAATAGTTTGGGCCAAAGCTGAAAGGAAAGCCCATGGCCCGGAAGAGGAGTAAGTCATTAAGGAAGTGTCAAAGGTAGGGGGAATGAGTTCCCCAGTCATGTGAAAATAGTTTGTGCACTACACAGTCTTAGGCAGTTATAAGGTATTATTAAGAAATTATTATTGTTTTTATTATAGTAGAATGTAAGCTTCTTGAGGGCAAGGACTACTTGGTTTTGTTTTTGTTTCGCAGTGCTCTCTTTAGCACTAACTCAGTATGTAGCACATGTGGTTCAGTCCCTACAGGCTTAATACATGCTTGCTGAATTATGTTGAATTAACACCAGAAAACATTCCATTTTGCACAGTTCTCATCTCTTACTCTTGCTGAATGTGATACTTGCTTAGGCTTATTGGCCACTGAGGGCAACCCATCTTCAATTGCTTTTATAAGACAGAGCATATTGACCTTAACCAGCTAGCAATCCATATAGCCACAGATCTGACCTCACCGTGGGCCAAGTGAGATCTTTAATGCAATCTAATCTCTGCCCAGCTCCAAGAGGCACTCCGAGTTCACTGTAATTGGGAGAGGCAGTTAATGAGCACATCTCTCTTTCCACTTTGATTTCCCAGTTATCCAGTTTCAGCTGACCTCACCAGTCTTGTTCCCTTTTGTTCAGGCCCCATAAGCCTTCACAGATTCTAAGTGATTCCCAAAGTCACTTGATGGGCACAGGGTTGAAGGGTTTGAA